GCCATACTGAGAATGCTTGTCAAAAGACTGCCTCCGACCTGGTTTCTGATATTTGATTTCGATAGTTTTATATCCATACCTTTTTTCAGTTTACGGTGTTTATCCAACCGTTTAGCAACAGTTTGACGAAGATGAAGTGTGTCATAATCTGATAAAGCATTTGCTGATAATTGAAGCGTAATGGTTTCTCTTTTATAATAAGCTCTGCTGAGATTTTTTTTTTTGATTCGGCGATAGTTCAACATCGATTTTAAATAACTTTGTCGTCATATCTTATATATTATACGTTATATAATTTCCAACAATCCTAAAACATATTTGACATATAAAAAACAGGAAATTATCATTTTGATTCATTCCAACGATAACAATTCATTTCCGAATTCATTTCAACTATCAATAATTCATTTCCTCCTTGGTTTATTATCAATTCTTTTTCATATAGTACAACAGCATTAACTGTAAAAGCGCTATCAGCAGCTGCCTTTGCATTAAGTTTGTATCTTAAATAAGCTTTTTAGGATCCTTTGTAACCTTTTCAGGTTGGGCAGTGAGATCGAAATAAATGACTCCAAAAAGAGCATTAAAATTATTTGGATTAAGCTGTGTTCCTGAATTATAATCATTCTGCTGCATTGTGTATTTCATTAAATCATCGAATATTCTCATTTTGGAGTCGCTATCGTAATCCACTTCAGGATAAAATGTATTAGCTCCATATTCTGTATGACAAGTTGAAAGATAAGAGCCATTTCCTCGATCAGCGTTAATATTGAAAGTGTCATAAGTCGATGTTTGATTGGGATTCTGCCTAGTCTTCAGTAGCACAAGAAGTCACGCCCATACCCTGTAAAGGTATTTATACCCGCCCACACTTCTTGTGCTACTATTCACCTGATTAGCACACTCAAGGCTTTAAAGACTGACCACTTGAGCGGCTGGTGCTTTCTCACGTGACTTCTTGTGCTACTGATGACTCGGCAGAATCCCAATCAAACATTGACTTAAGGTAAGTCTCATTTAATTTTTGATTGATGAGTTTCTATGACGTGCGCTCCGAGTCTGGTCACCGCAATGATATATTGTAGTGTTCGCGCATAAAGCTTCTTTATGTTACGTAGTTTGGTGTTGTTTGTCTTTAGGCTGCGTCTCGTGTTCTTTCATGATCCAAACCGTCAGGTGTGTTTTATGTTTTCATTTCGCCGTGTCTATATCATTTATTATTTTGTTTATGTCATTTATTTTCGGTAGTTAGATTTAGCGTAACTTAATTTTGTTATAGAAACCACTGGTCGAGAAATAAATGTATATGGTTCGGATAGCCATTGAGTGATGTTACTGGTGCGTACGTTACAGACACAGTCTGCGCACTTCTCCAACTCTCAGTTGTTGTCGTTGTCTGTCGCTCATGTGATACCACGGAAGAGGAAATTCTTGATTTTGGATGAAGTTGTCTCAGGCGTCGACTTTACCATGTTGCGCATAATCCATAGTCAAGAACCAGTTGGCCAATTCTACAGTTGTAGATGGGCTTTTAGAAGCACGTAGGGAGTAGCTGTTAAGATTATTAAAAACGTTTAATTCTACAACGCGAGTCTTCAGTGTCACAGGGAATTGGGGCCGGCAATTAGATTCCCCACAAGAGCGAAGTAGAGCAAAAGAAAATCAATCCCTGATTTCTTTCGATGCTTGATTGAGAATTGCTCATTCAACTTGTATAACACTCATGGTAACGTTTTCTTAAAAGATTACAGCTTTGACTTCAAGGCTTATTTTACCTTTGATTGCATCTTCAGGGGTGTATCCTCTGCATTCAATAAGATATCTACAATGAGAAGAGTGAATAAAAAAAGTCAAAAGTTACGGAATAAAAAGTCATAGAATTTTCAGTCACATAATTTCATGATTTGGTTAGCTAGTGCAGATCTTTATCTCACCTACAAACTACATAACCACTTCTGTTTAGGCCGTGAGTACAATGAACGCCAACAACAGAATCTGAAGAAAAATCAAAGAAGGCAATATAACTTATGATGTTCGTAAAAACCCTTTCAGATGACGTTTGAATATAAAAGCATGCAACAGAGAAGTAAAATGTAAAGTTTACAATTCATTTCTCCTTTGCTTCATTCAGCATGACACAAATGTACTGGTACTCTACTGAGGACACCCAATATTTCAAAATAAAACTCATGAGTATTGATTACCTACTTATCCCTTAGACCCCTAAAAGTGACTAGCATCTAATTTCTCCTTAAAATATCTCGCCTGAATTACACATTTCAGTCATGAGAATTAAAGAATAATCACCAAAGCAGCTCTTGATTATTAAACAAATTTGCCTTATCAGCACTGTGGGAAATGTGTGTATGAAAACAATATGGAGAATATGAAACTGCTGCATTAATAACACAAAGGGTTAACAGACCGAAAGAGTAAATTGTTTGTGCTATTATGTCTCTTACCTGAGTCACTCGCCTTCTTCAAAAAAGTGCAGACATAAGTCTTAAACCTTTGAAAGAATATAACATTGCTTTCATCAATATAACAGGAATTGTTATCAAGAACTCAACTTTGATTGATTGAACGAACTGTATTACTCAAATTCTTCCTTACCTTTCTACGACATTTTTATTTGGAATCTTTTCTCCAGCACATCTGATCTTGCAATAACGTATCTCAGGGTCAGAAAGGTCCTTTACCAATAAATGATGAATGAACCAGTTACTATTGCAGTAGAAATCACATTGCCTAACATCAAGGCATGTTTAATTGATAAGATCTTTCAAACTGAAGTCCACTGCGATAACCATTAAGTTATTTTTCCTCCCACATGGCTGCTGGTTTGAACATACTTGAAAAGTACAGGCTAAAACCATTCTTTGATCTACATACCTCGAAATTATAGTATTTGTAAGTGTCCGTGAAGTCCACAACCATTCCAAGTTTTATATGTGTTTGGCTGAGGTGATTCACAAGATCCATTGGTGTAAACCTTAAAAAAGATTGAAAGTGCAGTTTTTTAAATGTATGTAATAATAATAATACTTTATTTACCCATGTATCACCTAAAAGCTAATAGCTCGTTTAAAACATGAACGTGAAACTAATTACAAATAATGAGCTAATAAGAACTAATATTAAAAGATAAAAGTATTGAAAAGCTATTTTTTATCTAATTTATATGTACTATACAATTATTAAGTAAAAGTGCATAAAAAATCCAGTTAAAGCCTCGTCATAGACGAATGCAACACGCGCCTAAAAGCGGCCAAGTCCAGACATTCCCTGATTCTAGTAAGCAAACCATTCCAAAGCTTAGTAGTTAAATATGACCATGACTTATGAATGTATTCTAAGTTGAACAATGGCAGCATAAGGTGTGTGTCAGACCTGCTTAGGTTGTAATTCACATTTAAAATGTTAGAAAACTTACTAAGATATTCCGGTCCCCGTCCTCTAAAACATTTATATAAAATAACTAATGACTGGATTTGCCTCTGTGTCTCTAAGTTTTATAATTTAGCTAAATTAAGGAGAAAATCATAAAGCACTGAGGTTGAATACCCTAGGATAGTCCTTGGGATGTAGTAATTAGTGTCCTCTAACTTGTTTTTGAGCCCATTACTTATTCCTAGCAGGAGTGGGCTACAATACTCTAAGTGGGGTAGTACATATGCTTTGTAAAGGCGAATCATAACATCTGGTGGTATAAACTTACGCAGCTTACGCATGGCAGCTGCCTTAGCACATGCCTTCTTAAGTTGTACTTGTATATAGGGCTTAAATGTTATTCTTTCATCTAAAATGACACCAAGAATCTTCAGACTATCAGTCAGCTCTACATTATCATCTTGTAGATTAATATTATATCTATAATTTACTGGGCCAATGGCCATCGCTTGGGTCTTTGTTGCATTGATTTGCAAATAATTATGTTGGAGCCATGTACACGCTACTTGAAGATCTGAGTTAATAATGTATTGTAAAACAA